CATCGGCCGTCACTGTGTGGCGTTGGAGATATTTATTATTTCTTGTCGTCGCTGTAGAGATGGATTGTGGGAGATTGGAGTCGGTTCCTTGGTCACCATCTCTCTCTCTGTTTGTTTGTTTTTTTCACACGTTGAAGTGAAGCAAAAACTGACAAAAAAAAAAAAGTGAAGCAAAACGTTGGTGTGAAGTAGGGTGTACATGGGTCGGGTGGTTCGGGCTTAGTCATTTTAATCACACGACCCATGCACTACGGTTTGGGAAATATCAAACTCAAACCCACCCAAAAAAATTTAAACCCTACGGTTTGTTTCTAATTGGGTTGGGTCGGGTTGACGATATTTTTAAGTAAAAACCCAACCCAACATAAAATATATAATTATTCTACATCATAAAAATATTTTATAACTAATTAACATTTCAAACGAATGAACCAAGGTGAAAGGTATGAAAATTCACAAATGTTGTTTAAATTTTAATAAAATGTAATTTACTTCAACATATGTCTTGTTTTTTCACGATATTTGTTGAAACAGGCTAAAAATGTTATAAGCAAACGCATCCATCATATGTTATTCTATTAAAATTGTACACAAGAAAAAGGATTACGTGAATCATAACAATATTCAATTTATGTCTAAACTTTAAGTCGAAGAATGTATTAGATTAGGGAGACCATGAGAGAAAAACATGGCGAAATATCTTAATTTTCTCATAAGTATATGATTATATAGTATATAAATATTTTTTAGATTCGAACTCATACTAATAGTTGAAACACGGGTTGGGTCGGGTTCTACGGGTTGTGTAATCCAAAATCCAAACCCAACCCAACCCAAAGAGGCGGGTTGTACAAAAGAAAACCCTCATCCAACCCAAAACCTTCATTTTAGCGGTAAATACGGATGGGTTGGATCGGGTTGGACGCGTGGGTCGATTTACAGATGTGTTTGTTCACCCCTAGTGCGAAGTACTGGGGATTGCGTGTGGAATCTGCTAGGCCACCACTTATACTATTACTGTGCTGCTTAGTGAAGGATCCAATCATTACGTGTCACGAATCAGCAAAGGAAGAAATAGTAGTACTTCTACCACAAAAAATTTCGACCCCATGGGTAAAATAAAAAGACCAGATTCTTTCCCTCGCCTATAACGCGGTTCAAGTCGGTGGTTGACCTTAATAACTAGTACGAAGGTACTTCCGTTCTACAGCTACAATCTAATCTGTGAAACATAAGTACAAACTAGGTGTGTTATATTTTAGAATATAAATTAATTTAATATATCCAATTTCAAGAGTAAGGGGTATTATTATTAGGCCAAATCTTTATTCGTGAGATGTCGTTTAGTATAATAAATTAATATTTTGATAACAAAATAGTAAAGATTTGTTATTATTTTTTTTATCAAACTTACTTATGTCACGGATGGTGCTGCCAACGATTGTAAAACAACATCCCTCTGAATCATGGAAGGGCAAGCAAAAAACAGATTATCCCTCGATAGCCTGAATCAATTCATTGCAAAATATCATTCATCACATGCAAGAACTTGTCAATTTCGATGAGTAGGAAATTAAACTAGGGTTTAGGAGGATGAAAGGGGTGGCATCCGGTTTGACCAGCGTCGTTGAACGACAATTCACATGATCAACAATTTGTTCCCATATGTGTGGTGATAATTTTGTAAATAAATATATTTTGATATATACACGTACATTACATATATACATCACATTCATCCCTTAGTCGAACCTAGTACGTGTATCTACAACCATACATACCAATTTATATCGACTAATATTGGCTTCTTTTTGTTTCATTAAGCATATATTGTTTTGAAATTGAGCCTTGCCAATACTTTGAATAATATCTTAACGCATTAAGGTGTGCCTGCAAGATCAATTCATTTTAAGAAGTACAAAATAACAGATAAATTAACCGCTTTATTTAATTTAATTTGTTTTAAGGTTAGAAAAATTTCATGTTCATATTTCAATGTGAAGTAATTAAAAGGTAGCTACCATCTCTCTCGATGGTAATTAGTTTTTTTTTTTTGGTCATACATATCTTTAAAAAGAGAAGAGCAGATACATAGTATAACAATATACTCGACTATTGCAGATCAAACTAAATAAAAAAGATAAAGACATTTGCAGGTATAAGGATGGTAATAAGTTGGGGGAATCAATCCCAGAGATATTTTGTTGGTCCGAATGTGAAATGTGATATTATGGTATGTATGCATGCATAGATATTTGCATGAAAAGGGGGATTGCTTGTTTGACAATCGCAAGAAAGGAGGCCTGGCGAATGTTGCTTTCAGGTTGAGACTAATTTCACGGCCAGCTAACTGATTGCCCCTTTTGTTTGGGAAAAAAAATCAACGATAATATTAGTCTCAATCCCAAGATAACAGGCAGGCAGTTGATCATCCTCTTTCAAAGACAGGCAGCAGTAAAGTTTAACCTGTCCAGAAAACCTTAATGACATGAAGCAGTTTAGTTAGTGATACAGATCCAATAAGCTTTGAATTCGAGGGAAACTTGCCAATAAACTAATCACATCCATAATTTATTACTTGGATTTCTGTAACATGCCTACATTTACGAGGTGGTTACCTCATTACATAACGAATTTCGTACGTTGGGCTTTTTATAAGTAGCAAGCTAGCTTGTTCGAGAGAGGGGGCCAACATCAATAATATTAGTGATTTCACGTCAGTTTCGATGCCTGTTTGATTTAGCATCAACTAGTTCTATTTCAAAATTTTGATTTTTCTGATTTTGCATAGCAAATCATCGTCTCTAGCTTGTAAATCAAGATCTCTATTATATTTCATCTCTTGATGCTCAAGTTGAGTGATTTAGAATTCAGTGTACGTACAATTGATCGTATCCTAAAGGGAGGAGATGCCATTATATAAGCAACCATGACGTAATTAATGGAAGGTGCTTAGTATTGCAAGTAATTGACCTTTTAAGAAGGTGCTTAATTAGCTGGGTTTGTACAATAAGGTTGATGATATGAAAAGTGAAAACTCCTTCCTTGTTAATTAGAAGGACCGACAGGTCAACTGACTTGGAGAATTGGCAATCCAATTCCAAAGGTTTGACGTTGTTTTGTTTTGGAAGGAAAACGTGGGCGGAGATTTGGTTTTGTGAGTGTAAAGCTAACCAAATATGACTTATCCATTACCCTCGAGTAGCTAGCCCCCACAACTTGGTTTTGTGTATATATTCTATTCTTGGATGATAATATTGAAATTGAACTACCCTAGAAGAAAAGACACGTCGTGATAGAATACCAAGAATATTGGTATTTGGTAGTGCTGGCGAGCAATGAACTTCAATTGCTGCTCAGAATAATCATTTTGTGCTTCTTAGCAAGAAATGGATGTGTACGTTGAACCCTATTGGACACTTCATACACAAGGGTTGATCAAGTACCCCCGTCAAAATTAATATATATATATAATCATTACTCTTTTGGTCAAAATATCATCATCAATTGATTAATTGACATTTTAATCTCTTCGTATCTTTGGTGGGATGTTGGGTTAATCTCTTCATTTGTGCACTATTGTTAGAACTCAGTGTGTTGCGTGATTGTTTTAACTAACTAAACTGGTGGGATATTGGGTTAATTGGTTGTCTAATTTGTTTGTGGATACTGGATACGTGTTTCCAAACATGGAGTAAAAAATGTTGTATAATTGGGCTCAAATGTTTGGATTTTTTGTTTGTTTATTGTGAATTGCTCTATATAAATTTACATAGTGTGAATTTGTTTCTAGGGAAATTTTTCCTCAAGTTAGATGGAAAATAAGAGAGAGAGCCACAAATTTAAGAAATGAGAGAGCCATGAAATGTCTTTTAGAGCATTGTTAGTTGTTGTTTTTTTTTTTTCATAACAAGGAGGCTGAGGTCAAGAAAAAGAAAGATTACAGGGGGAGATTAATTGAGGGAGGAGGAGCTAGCCACAACTCGGCGCTCAAAAGTAGCGCCCTAGCATCATCCTGAAGTATTTGAACAACGCTCGTATATAGGTCAACCAACTCGTATAGACCGTAGGGATATATAAGATTGTGCTTCGAGCATTGCTAGTTGAAATGCCATCATATCATCACAAATGCCCATCACCATTCACCCAACAATATTTTGATGTAAGTGGTGTCATATTTGTAAATAAATTGTTACCACTTTTTTCCAACGGCCGTGAATCACCTGCACCCAATCTAACAACGCAAGATATATCTAAGTACAATAGCAAAATCCATCTCCCTAAATGGCTATCTATCAAACCACATTGATTGGGCTTAATGCTAATCCAACATACAGTTTCAATTTGAACATGGACATTAGTTTTCTTTTTCGCTTTTTTCTTTAACTTAAAAAAAAAGTTTTCTTTTCACTTACTGTTATCTTCTATACTACTTCTTCCAACACAATACAGTAAGATCAAATAAAATTTGTAGTGATACGAATTTTAGGGTAAATGTCACATTTGGTCATTGAGATTACTAAATCATGTCATGTTTAGTCACTAGAAAAAAATAATATCAATTTTAGTCACTCGAATTACTGAACATGTCACATTTAGTCACTCTCCCGTTAGTTTATGCCCAACTCCATCAACGGAGTTGGACGGAGGCTAACGGAGAGTGACTAAATGTGACATGTTTCAGTAATTCGAGTGACATTCATAAAAAAAGAAGTAATTCGAGTGACTGGAGTTGGACGAAAGCTAACAGGAGAATGACTAAATGTGACATGTTTTAGTAATTCGAGTGACCAAAATTTATATTAATTTTTTCTAGTGACTAAATATAACACGATTTAGTAATCCCAATGATCAAATGTGACATTTACTCGAAGGATTAGTGTCTAATTCTCGCAAACATGAACTTCTTAACAACATGGAGTGAGTTTGTGAGCTTTGCTTTTTCAGAGACTCAACGGTAAATAATCCAGCAAGTAACTCCACTCCGTCCTCTTGGTCAGAAAATCAAGTTGCCCACTCGGCAACTATTGGGCCCCACGGCCCAACGTCATCGAAATTCATTCTATAAATACGCCACTCGGTCCTCTCTTTCCTCAAACAAACCTTCATCTTCCTTCCCCATTCATCAGCACCCTTATTTCTTACAACAGAGGAAGAAGAGATTTAGCCGCCATCAATTTTGCCCCCTTCTTGTTCTTCTTACTCTTGTCAATCTAAACTCTGAAACCCAATTTCCACAACTACAATTCGTTGCCTATCTTCAATGGCGGCTTCTCTAATTCAACAATTTCTGATTCTATTCATTTCGATTGCCTATCTCTTCCCAATCGGCGTCGTTTCCACGACCTTCACAATCACCAACCAGTGCGAATACACGGTCTGGCCGGGCATCCTCTCCAACGCCGACGTGGCGCCGCTGCCCACCACCGGATTCGCGCTCCAGAAAGGCGAGACCCGAACCATCTCCCCGCCAGCCTCCTGGGGCGGCCGGATGTGGGGCCGGACGCACTGCTCCGAGGACTCCACTGGAAAATTCTCCTGCCTCACCGGCGACTGCGGCTCCGGTAAGATCGAATGCTCCGGCTCCGGCGCCGCTCCCCCCGCCACGCTCGCCGAATTCAAGCTCGACGGCTACGACGGCCAGGACTTCTTCGACGTCAGCCTCGTTGACGGCTACAACCTCCCCGTCCTCGTCTCGCCGCAGGGCGGGTCGGGTCAGAACTGCTCCAGCACCGGGTGCGTGGTCGATCTGAACGGCGCGTGTCCTTCCGACCTCAAGGTTGTTTCCGATGCTGGCGAGGGCGTAGCGTGCAAGAGCGCGTGTGAGGCCTTCCGCCAGCCGCAGTACTGCTGTGATGGAGCGTACGCGACCCCCGACACCTGTAAACCGTCGTCGTATTCGCTCGCCTTCAAGAACGCCTGCCCACGCGCTTACAGCTACGCGTACGATGACAAGACCAGCACATTCACCTGCTCCTCCGCCGATTACACGATTACCTTCTGTCCCACTCCCAGCACCAGGTAATAAAAAATTTACCGCCATTGTTTCTCCCGTCCATTTTTCACCTGTTGAAAAAGCCTGGGGAAATGGCCTCTTTTTTTGTTGTTGGTAATATGGGGAAATGGATTCTAGCCCGGCCCCGGCCCCGGCCCATCATTTTATTTATTTTTGTTACCGTCGAAATTTTAACCGTTGTTTACATGGAGAAACGTGAAAATGAAGTGACGCGCACGCCGACATAGGGGTTCGGGTCGGTTTCGGCCCGGCATAGTAGTGCGGTCCTGGACAGGCCCAGCTAAGAGATTAGGGAAAGTGAAGGCGACAAAATTTGGGATGGGTTAGCATGCTAACCCCCTTAAGGGTTGGAAAAATGACACCCCCTAATTTATTAAATACAACTATAGAATTTAATACACACATTAAATACACATTAGGAATTAAATGCACCATATTAATTATTATCTTTTTATTCAAATTAAAACCTACACTAAATATATTCTCTCTCCTTATATCGGATTTTTCCATTTTCAGCAGCCTCTAACCACCAGACTTCCTCCGACCGCCACACTTCTCCGGTGAAAATCTCATCGGTAGACTCCCTCCGAACACCTGCAAAAAATATACCACTGCACTGATACGTTATACCACTACACTGGTAGCTATACCACTACACTGGTAGCGATATCAGTGCACTGGTACCAATGTCATATATGAGTATCAGTGTAGTGGTACAAATACCAGTACAGTGGTACAACATATCAGTGCAGTGGTATATTTTCGCAGGTGACCGGAGAGAGTCTGTCGGCGGATTTTACCGACGAAATGTGGTGGTCGGAGGAAACTTGGTGGTCGGAGGCTGCTTGGAAAGGAAGAATAGAGATAGGAGAGAGAAAGATCAAAGATGAGAGAGAGAATTGTATTTTTGTATATGTTTAGATTTTTTTTAAAAAACGAGTAATTAATGTGGTATATTTAATGCTTCCTTTGTATTTAATAACAGAACATTTATTATTGTTACTTTCATTAATACTAATCAATAATTAATGAAAAATTGACCAATTAACAAGGGGTGTCATTTTTCCAACCCCTTAAGGGGTTAGCATGCTAACCCATCCCACAAAATTTTAATTAATTAGCGCATTAAATTAATATTAAAATACAGATACGTGGCTGAAAGGGAAATACCACGGAATGCTTAATTAAATGCTATACATAACGATTAACGGCCACTGACGGAGTTGTTTCTTTTTATTGTGACAGTCAAAAGGCGTCGCAGGGGCAGAACCAGGGACCGACGACAACGCCGCCGCTTGGTGCTACGAGTGAAGGCGGAAACGACGGGAAGAGCAGTTCGCCGTTTGTTGACGGCTCGATGGTGTACGGAAGTGCGGAGTTGGGCACGAACGGCGGGATGGGGAGCACGTGTACCCACGTGGGTGCTGCCGTCAGCATCACATTGGCCGTATGGCGGTTGATGCAGTTCCGCTGAAAATTTTAACCTTTATTTTTTATACTGGTTCACATGGGTCGGCCGGGCAGGCCGGTGGGTTTCGTGGTCGGGTTGAATCATCGTGGTAGGGAGAGGCCCGTGGGCCGTGACCCATGCCGCCTTGGCCCGAAATGAAGAACCGACAACGTGGCGTGGGTGTGGGGCCTACTACAGCATCGTCGGGGTTTCCTCGTGCGGGGGCCACGTAGGACAAGCACCACTTTGGGCCGTGGGCTGACGAGGAAGTGACTCGCTAATGGAGAAAGCAAACGTTGCTGTTTCATAAGTTGGCCCGTCAAAACTGATAGGCAGGCGCTCCCGTGGTTATTTATTATATTATCTATTTAGTAGTGATTAGAGACGAAATCAGTTAGGAAATGAAGGTAATTCTTTCTAGGCTATAGGTTTAAATTATACAATTCTTTTTACCTCTTGCGGTGGTGAACAATTCTGGAGGATGGAAATTCATTTGTTGGTTTCGGAGGAATTGTTATTCTACAAAATGTAACCACCAGAATTAAAGAAAAAGAAGAATGTTATTAATAAAAATAAAGGAATTGACCTATTATGATGCTATTATGCTTTTTCAGTGGCTCTTATTATTTTGCTGATATAGACTTTGCGTTTGATTAATCAGAAGAATATGGGGTTGGATTAATTAATAAATTATGGAGTTAGGGGATAATGTATTGTAAAATTGAAGAATGCGGTGAGAGAGTGAGGGAGACATCAGCATTCGTATACAAGAAGGGAAGGGGATTAGTATTTTATGTTGTGTCTTCTTTCTTTTGTTTTTTTTATGACGAAATAGAATAAATTCGCTAGCGTTGAAGAAAGAAAGAAAAAAATCGAAAATTCAACTGGTAGCTCTTAATGTAGGAGCTACAAGTTGAATTTTAGGTTTTATGAATGGATTAACGGATTAAATATTGAGGGTATATCAGGGGTGGAGCTATTCGGAGAGTAGGGTGGGCCCCAGCCCACCCGGGAATAGTTTCGGCCCTTAGGATTGTAAAAATATTTAGATGAAATTTGAATAAGTAATGCTCGACCTATACATTGTAGCATATAACAATCATGTAGTCTATTGGTAGCTAAGTCAATCTTTTAAACTAAAGCAAACAAGTTCGACCTACAACAATCTCATTTTTGCTTTAACTTCTTTTTGGACTTTATTATATTCTCATTCACAATGTCCTGGACCAAACCAAACGGATACCCACTCCTTTTTTTTGTTACTTTAATCTTGCTACAAATGAAGAAATCAACCTCTATTTAGTTCACTTGGGATTTTTAGCTCTTTATACAAACTATATCTATATGATCTATTTTTTTTTATCTATGTCGGAATGAACAGACAGATTAGGGTCAAAGGAATTTTAATCCTGCTACAAATGAAAAAATCTACCTCTATTTAGTTTACTTGGGATTTTTAGCTCTTTATACAAACTATATGACATATTTTTTTTTATCTATGTCGGAATGAACAGAAAGATTAGTGTCAAAGGAGTTTTATTTTGTTGATAGGTTGATTTGTCTTCTTCTAACTCTTCCAAATTTCTAAAGCTACATGTGATCGTGCATGTTTTCAGGTATAAAGATAGTGAAGAATAGATTGCGAAACAAAATAAATGATGAGTTACTTGTTAATGATTTAGTTATTTATATTGAAAGAAAGATAGCTAAAATTTTAGTTCAAATGCTATTTTGAGAAATTTCAATGATCTCAAAGAACGTTGTAGACTTTAAAAATAAAATTTTAATTTTTATTTACATTTATCTATTTTCGGCCCACCCGGTTTCGAAATCCTGGCTCCGCCCCTACGGGTATATATAGCAACCAAATTGTGGTTTCTGGATTATATTCTTGAGTTTGATAGAAATATATATTTTAAATACTTGGCATTGGGGGATTTCATCTTTCACCTCTTTATATCTGACCTCATAGCGTTTTAGAAGATCATCCATACAAAATTAAATAGGAAAATATGGTACACTACGCTATACGCTCTTCTATATGATTCTAGTTGATTAACTTTCTCTAACATTATCTATTCACCTTTTAAATTTGCAAATTGATCAAGTGCTGTATTTCTTAAACAATTGAACATGATCCTGTCAACGTTTGCATGCATTATCTGTAACTGCAATGGCGACTTGAAGGCTTTACATTAGCTTTGGTGGTAGCTAATCAAAAGTGACTACAGGAAGATAAAACCAATCTAAAATCAGATCAGATTAGGAAAAAAGGTAGGTACAGCTGCCATATATGATAATACTTACTTCTAGTACATTGAATTAGTATCCTTCTAGTCCAAAAGGGAACGGAAGAATGGTACTTTACAGCATTGCAGACTTGCAGCAGATAATAATCCTATATTATTTTCAAGTCAATTCTGAATTTTGTGTATGAAAATCATTATCTTAATTCTCAAAATCATGAACTTTTACTATAATTTATATTCGAGAGTAAAAAATAATAGATAATAATTGTGCTTATAAGTAGGGGTGTAAGTTTGACCCTAAAAATCCACTGGCCCGTCCCGACACGTCCTGTCCCTGAGGGTCAGGACGGGTCAGTTTGTCTATAAGGTTAATTTAGGGACGGGTCACTTTTTGACCCTGTGACCCTTAGCAACAACAAATATCTCATACCACATTGAAGCTCTTTGTAAGAGTTTTAATAGTTTAGGTACTAAATTGTAAAAATAAAAAAATTTATGTACCAAAATGTAATTTTACCATCAAATGTAAGAACTTATTTGTAAAAAATAAATTTTAGGTACTAAATTGTAAGTAAAAATAATTTTGGGTATAAAACATAATTTGTACAAAAAGTAGTGTGTAGATTAAGGTCGACCCACTGACCGATCCGTCCCATCCCTTGAGGGTCAGACAGGGTCAAAAAGAAGACAAGGACGGGCCAGTTATACGTCTCTTCAAGGACAGGTCATACAGGTTCAGGGACGGGAAAGAGACGGATCAAGCAATTTTCAGCCCTACTTATAAGAGAAGATTATTGAAAAAATTACAGATCAAAGGTTAAATCTCCCGATTGGACGGTAAATGTAAAATCAAACTGACTTCTTACAGAAGGGAAGAATGATAACGGGCTCTATGCGCAGAGGGCTGGTCCATGAAATCTGAACGGCGAGGCTTGGGCCTTTGTTGGGACTCATAGTAGACCCATAAGATCAGAGTCGGGCTTTTGTGCATCTTTGGGACCTATATTTACCAGGGCCATGGGTTCATACGATGCTTAGTCGGTCAATGGTTTGGCACTCGGCCAATCATTGTCAATACGCAATACAAATTCATTATATGTCTCTAATCTCAACTCAACAATTTTAGTGATCCCATTCATTTCACATGCATAAATCCAATTTACTTGGAACTACAATTAGGGTATGTCACGTAACTTTTAAATACAATTATAAAAATGTAAATGTGAAAATAATAAAAAGGTAAAAAAGCTACGAATATAGCTTTAAAAAATGCAATTGTTGTTTACATCAATTATAATTTGGGTAAATGTCATATTTGGTACTGAGATTACTAAATCGTATCATATTTAGTCACTAGAAAAATTTAATATCAAATTTTAATGAAATTGGACGGAACTAACGGAAAATAACTAAATGTGACATGTTTTAGTAATTCGAGTGACCAAAATTATCATGTTTCAATCAATGCAGTCAAAAGCGCGATTCTACCTAGAAGCGGAAAAGGGGTAAAATCGTAAAGCGTAGAATCAAAGCGTAAAAGCGTAAGTTTTTTACGCATACTGAAAAATAACTAAAAATCTATTAAGTAGGACATATGTTATGCAAAATATGAATGCACAGAATTTAGATAAGTTAATAAATACATGCGATTCATGTTTAAAGTAGAGCAACTTATAGCATCTTAATAATAAGTTCGTAAACATAAATTTTAACGATAAGCCAATTTTCCCTCTATGCTAATGAATTTGGGAAAACCCTAGCTGGTGAATTAGATTACTCTATTGAAGTAGAATGCATCCAAGTACTTAGTATGTATCTTTTTAATCTCAAATGTATCATATTGTTAGTGATTTACTTTAAAAATATACTTTTTATAATTAATTTCGTGAAAAGAATACTCATTTAGTGAACTAAAAGCGTAAAAACGTAAAGCGTTTTGGTGAACTAGAACCGTAAAACCGTAATTTTTTAAGCTTTAAAGCGCAATTTAGTCCGATTTTATACATTTAAGTTTTTATATGGAAACGAAAGCGTTTTGGTGACCCAAAAGCGTAAAATTGTAAGTTTTTAAGTTTTAAAGCGCGATTTTGACTGCATTGGTTTCAATAATTCGAGTAACTAGAGTTGGACAGAGGCTACAGGAGAGTGACCAAATGTGAATTGTTTCAGTAATTCGAGTGACCAAAATTTATATTAAATTATTCTAGTGACTAAACATGACACGATTTAGTAATGTCGGTGACCAAATGTGGCATTTACCCATTATAATTGCATAATGAATTACATAGATATACCAGACCAAGATGTTGTACTTGAAATCTCCTTAATTGAAATAACTTTGACCAAAATACTACATCTCAGCACCGATCGATACAGTGTCGGTCGGTGAGGTATCCCAAAGTAGCAACTAGCAACTATAGTATATCCAGAAAGAAGCTTAGCCTAGAAGATACATAGATCTAGATTTCCTAGCACACTATTCTGTGAACAGACCATACTTTTGGGTACGTCATAAATAAAACCAGAGGGAGGGAAATCTCCCTTTTCCATCCCTTGCCTCGCTTTAGACGTCACCGGTCTCACCCTACTTTTTGGGCTTTTAGCCTTTAAGGCAATTTGATGATCAGTACTAGAAGAAAGCTTTCGAGGTCCATTTTCAAAAAAATCTTGACTTTCCTTCTCTCTCTTATTTGAAAACGCTCCCTCCTCTCTCTAGTTTCTCGTTCTTTGTTTGGGCTGTGGGCTGCCGTCGGCGCCTCTGAGCGGCCGGCGGTAGCCCCTTTCTCCTTGCTTTTATTTTTGTTAGGCTTTCTGTTTTCCGTGCTTCCTTTTCGGAGCTTTTCTCACCTCTTCTCCGAAGTTAGGTGTTTCTTCTTCTTCCTCATGTCTGATCTTTACAGATCTGATTATTGAGATGTTTTGGTGGTGTCAGAGGAGATTGAGGTTTCCTTAATCTGCCTTCTCCTTCTTGTTTCCTGTTCCTCCTCCTTGCTTCACCGCTGCGGCTTGGTGTTTCGGAGATGTCTGGGAATCCTATTGTGATCTCCCGTTGGTTTCAGTTTCAAGGAGTTCGAAGGCGGAGATCAAGATTCATGGACTCTCGACTATTGTCCCTGGCGCTTTCATCGGTTTGGCTGCGTGCTTTTGTCTTTCGAAGGTGGCGTCTGCAAGCGCTCTGCTTTGGTTTGCTTGCTGTCCGGCGGTCTTTGGGTCATCGGATCTCTCTTCATCAGCCTCTGCATGTGTGTCCGATGGGTGCTCTTTTGGGTGGTAGGTGGCGGCTGCTGCTCTTGGGGATTTTGGTTGGGGTGCTAGGGTTTCAGGCCATCTATTGGGCTTAGTTCTCTTTG